TGTGCATTAATTAATATTTCTTATAATATAGCAATCAATTCATTAAGCGCCATCAAGCTCGAGCAGTACATGTTTTAGATGATTAGAGCTTATTATATTGTCTGATAAGTATGTTGATTTATTTAGAGGATTGAATTAGATTGGGATTCTTTTTAGTTTTGGGCTATGTAATTAAGTAGTTCTAATTAGATTATAATTTTTATCCTGTTTTTGCTACATGACTCAAGCATATGATATTTATCGCTGCTAATTATTATGGACCTGTGAAAGTAAATACCGTAGTAATACAAAGCATGTAGTCTAGTTACTCTGTTTTTTCTTGTCGCATCGTAGATGTTAAACCTCAAAATCTATCAAGTGCTAGGATTTATCTTTGTATTTTAGGTTGTCCTAATAAGACTTGGAATGGATTTGAATTTGATTGAAAAGAAACAATATCTGAATTGAATTATAGTGGGGGATGTTAAAGAAAGAGAGAGAATCTTGGGTAAATTTCCCTTAAGTTGAATATTGAGTGTGCACATATATTTATACAAGTAGAGGAGTGTGAGGTTTGTTCTCCCAACTCCCAAGCAATGTGGGACTAAAACCCACTGCAATATACTATTATCTGTTGGGAATTTAACGCCGAAATCCCTAATGCAACAGAAACGCAAAATAGAAAAAAAGTACACAAGATTTATGAGGTTCGGCAACTGCCTACTTCCTCGGGAGCCACACAGTAAATTTCTTATTAATCAAACAAGAAATTATAAATCAAGAGCAGATCCCAAACTGAGATTTCTCAAATGAACACTGTAGCTACAGTGCTAATAATTAAAGGGAATAAACCCTTTCAATTCTCTCTCTCTCTTAAATTCTTTCTTAATCTCCCCTCAATACACGGTTGAGAGCTGGAGATGAGAAACCAAAATCGCTGCTGCGATTTCAAGGTTGGAGAAGAGGAACGCTGCTGCGTTTTTGTGCCGCCGCCAGAGAAAGATCAGGGGAGGAAGAAAAAGCACAAACCCTAGGGCATCGGGGTTTGCTTTTATAGGCGAACGCCAGCCACGCGAGCGTCCAAGCTCGACGCGAGGGTTGGAGCGCCTGGACGCGATCGTCGGAGCTTGGACACGAGGGTCGGTGTCCCAAACGCGAGGGTCGGAATCTAAAACGCCGAGGTCGCGATGCCCACACGCCGAGGTCGCGAATCGCCAAAATTCGAGCTCGCCTGCTCGAGCTCCACCTGGAGCTGTGCCTGGAGTTCGCCTTCGACTTTGCCTGAGTCGACGCCCACGCTCGCCGGAGCTACTCGCCGGCGTAGGTTGGTATCCACCCCCAAACTAACATTATCAACAGCCCCCTTCAAACTCATGTCGGATCAAACAAAGTGAGTTTGCGTACAAGAAACTGGAACCGATGAACAGGTAAGGCCTTTGTGAAGAAATCTGCAAGCTCATCAGCATATGAAACATGAGGAAGTAGAATTGTCTTGTCCTTGATAACTTGGTGACGGACAAAATGAGCGTCGATCTTAATATGTTTGGTCCTTTCATAAAATACTGGATTATTAACAATCTGGATGTCACTCTTATTATCACAATAGAGAGGAGTAGGAGTCGTAACAGAAATACCGAAATCACTAAGAAGGCGACGAAGATGAATAATCTCTTTAGCTGTTGTGGATATTGCACGATACTCTGCCTCAGTACTGGAAAGAGCAATAACATCTTATTTCTTACTTCGCCAGGAAATAAAGAAATCACCAAGAAATATACAATAACCTGTGGTAGACTTTCTGGTAGTTGGATCATCAGTCCAATCATCATCAGAATATGCACAAAGCTCTAACTTAGATATAGCAGGAAACAAAAGAGAGTGAGTGCTAGTACCCCGGAGGTACCAAAGAATCCGTAATAAGACAACATAGTGTACAGAACATGGGACACTAACAAATTGACTGACAATACCAACAGCATGAGAGATATATGGTAGAGAGATGCACAAATCGACCAACTGACCAACAAGATGTCGATATCAGGTAGGATCAGATAGAGGCTCGCCGTCAGTAGAGCAAAGTTTGACATTCTGCTAGAGTGAAGTATCGACAGTTGCATTATCAGTTAGCTCAGCTTGATTTAGAATATATGAGAGATACTTCTGTTGAGACAATAATACACCCCGCGGGCCTTGAGAAATTTCTAGACCAAAAAAATACCGAAGAGATCCAAGATCCTTCATGTGGAACTGTTGTTGTAACTGAGATTTTACGTATTGTATACCTACCATATCATCACCTGTAATGATCATATCATCTACATGTTAGGTCTCATGTTATGAGCCTATATCTTCTAATCTTGTTTTGATGATTACAAACAATTCCTAATATTGTTTGTCTAGTGTTTATGTTTCTTATTAGGTATTCTAGACAAACAATATGTTGGAGGATGGATGGAATTGCGCATTCACGATCATATCCAATGGAGGTTGGCGGAGTAGTGGTTGAAGCCTTGCAATTCATGTTAAAGATCCAAGTCAAGCTTCATCCGCAAGTGTACCAAGATAGAGCTTCGTTGAAGATCATCAAGCTTGGGTAATTTTGTTTAGGTTTTATATTATGTGTGTTAGTACTTTAAGCTCAATTATATTCACACATACACGTTTTGGTTTTTGTATATATATAGTTATATATATACATATCTTTATTAAGTCTATAAAATCAGTTTACAAAGTTTCAAAACTTGGTTTATGTCAAAACATGTATGTTTCGTTTTTATGGTTTTGGACATATTTGAAAAATGATGAGTTTTCACTATTAGGGAATGTAATTCTAAAAATTCTTTTTGTAACATGTTTATTATCATGTTTATAAACATTTCTCAAAGTTTCATAATTTTTAAAATTTATTTGTTATTTTTAAAGACACTTTTAAAATCAGATTTTCAGCATATACAGTGCCTGTGCACGTTTATAAGTCGACTTATCAGAGTTGACAAGTCGACTTATGAAATGCTCTGGAATGTGCAAAAACTCTCTGCCAAGTCGACTTATTCGAACTGTTAAGTCGACTTAGACCAAGTCGACTTATGTCATTTTCCAAGTCGACTTATGTGCTGATTTTTATGTGTTATTTCTATCTGGAAAGTCGACTCATGTGAATTTTTAAGTCGACTTATACTAAGTCGAATGCAAGTCGACTTATACTAAGTCGAATGCAAGTCGACTTATTAATATGACCGTTCAACAGTAACGGCTATTTTCCAGATCTGTTTTTGTGTGGGTTTTTGGTCATTTCCTTGGGGTTTTGGCTGATGTCTTGGGTTGTTATAAATATCCCATTGCATTTACCTCTCCCACTACCCAAGAGAATTGTTTAAACAAGTTTAAGGGTGTTTTGTGTTTGTTTAAAAGAGTGTTTAAGATTTTGGTTTGTGAAAATAATTTCACAAGGGCTTGAGGAGATAATCGTTGGTGTTTGAGCTTCAAATCATCTCTCTCTCACTCTTGTCATTTATTGGAGAAGTTTTCTAAACTCAATCTAGCTTTACATTTTATTGTTTGATTATCATTTTATTAAGCTAGTGTTTATATTGAGTTTAGTTGATTTTATTTATCTCTTTGTACACACACAACCATTGAGCTTATTGTATTTGCATACATTGTATAATTAGGTTGTGGGATTGTGTGACTTAGAGAGTGAGCCTACATTGAGTTCTCATCTATTGTAGAGAACAAATTTGTTGTATTGTGAGTCTAATTGTGAGGAACACTTTGTATTACACTAGTACACTAAGAGGAGTGTGTGGTGAGAGACGGGGTTGTCCCAAGAGGAGTGGGGTAGGTGATAATGCCTAGAGAGAGGTTATAATTCCTAACACTTGAGGGAGACACGGGCTAGAGACCAACACTTGAGGTGGTAGTTAGTGTAGTTACATTGTGAGTGATTGTAAAGTTTTCGGTTAGCTAGAAAACCGTATTGTGAGGTGTAAACGTTTTTCGGGTAAGCGTAGAAAACCCGGTGTGATAGTGGAGATCTCCTCGAGGTGAGGAGCGGGGACGTAGGTCAGGCGGACCGAACCTCGTAAACATATCGTTTTGTTTGTGTTTGCATTGACGCACTTATTTTCATATTTATATTGCCTTTGTCATTTGCACATTGTTTATATTCCCACTATCTTATTTTGTTTGTTTCACCCTTGTATTAGTTGTATATCCTTGCATATATATCTTGTCATATATTATACTTGCTAGGATATTTGTTAATTAGTTTTTATTGGCATAAATCGGATTAGATTAGCATAAACCCTATTCACCCCCCTCTAGGGTTCCTTCCTAGTGGTATTAGGGTACTTTCACTACATAGATGAGTAATAAAACTCTGTCACGCGATGTAGTGCGAACAAACAGAGAAGCATCTTGATGACTTTCTATAAAGCCCGCTTTGAGCACGACATCGCGAAAACACTCAAACCAAGCCCGAGGTGCCTGCTTGAGACCATAAACAGCACGGCGAAGAAGACATACATGTCCCGGAGGAATATTTTACCCTGGAGGCGGTTGCATATATACGGTCTCTGATAAAGAGCCATGAAGAAAATCTTTTTGACATCCATCTGGTATAAGGGCCAACGATGAGCAGCAACGACCGCAAGGAAAGTACGAACAGTGGGCATCTGAGCAACAGGAGCAAAGGTCTCCTCATAATCAATACCTTGTTGCTGAGTAAAACCTCGAGCCACTAAACGAGCTTTTCGACGTTTAATGGTACCATCAGGACGAAACTTGACCTTATAAACCCATTTACTGGCAACAAGAGAGATCCCAGGAGGACAGGGAACAACATCCCAGGTATGAGTTTGCTGAAAGGCTTGAAATTCCTCAGTCATAGCCTGTCGCCACTCTGGAATTTGAACTACCTCTTGGAAGGACTTTGGCTCAATAATAGTATGAATGGCAGCAAGAACGTTATGAAAGATAGGTGAATAAGAAGTAACAGAAGCATACCGGGCAG